CAGTGGTAGAGTGTTTGCCTTGCATGCATGAGGCCCTGGGTTCAGTACCTCAGTAGAAAAAGCTGGAAGTGGCACTGTTGCTAGCTTTGACTGTTGAGTTGAAGGACTGTGTCCAGGCCCAGAGTTCAGGCCCTGTGACATACATACATACATACATACACATATACATATACAATCATTAATTTTCATGTTAAAAATGAGAAGGATAATTGTAGTAATAGAATTAAGGAAGGAATATATTACTCATCAAAGGAAAGGCAAACATATGACAAAGAAGTCTGTTGAGATAATTTGCTTCAGGATGTGGTAGACATATATTGTGCTTTTTTCTTTTCTTTTAAACAACTTAGTATGTTTCCTCAAATATAGTTTTATATGTGAAATTATTCAGTTTTCTATTTTAGCCAAAGGTAGAAACTGGGAACCTTTATTCACAGAGAGAATTTTTATCTTTTCTCCTTGAATTTCTTGACAGTCATATTCAACATTTTCTTAATTCTTTTATTAGTATAAATTAGTTGAATGAGAGAAGTTTCATTATTACATGTCCATACGATGTAACCCATCAACCTCAACCCCTCTGTTACTCTCCTTTATTCCTTCTCTCTTTCATTAAACAGATTTCATTATTCTATTTTCATATATCTATATTAAGTACAACTTCACTTTTGAGAATCTTACCAAGTAATGATCAATGGTTTGGAAAAGGAAAAAAAACAACAGATATTTTAGAAGAAAAAAATTAACCAAAAGTAAAATTAAATGCAATATTCCAAATATAATTAGAATGAATTTCTAAAATAATATCCATAGATCATGACTTTGGAAGAATTGCATTCAATTTATTTGTTGTTTGAAGGTTGGGATACTATAAAATTTTTACAGTGGGTAAAAGTGCAAATTGTACTTCTCAACCTAAGTTGTCCATTAGGACCATCTAGGGATGGAGATTTTACAATGTTGAGTCCTGAAACTTACCCTGCCAATTAAATGAAAACCTCCAGTTAGAACTTGAGCATTTCTTTAAAAAAAACAAAACAAAACTCCCTAGACAAATGTAAAATGCAGACAGGGTTGAGAATAAATGGTGTGGATACTTCAGCTCTTCTAGTCTTACACACATTTATTATGGTCTTGGCAAAGAATACAGACATTCACCATTATGATAAACATCTGAACCTATATTTTTATATCAAGATATATATATATATCATATTTATAAGCTGGTCAAATGGCAATTCCTTTGTACAACTACTTATAGATAACAATTTAAACAAGGAAAAACAGAAAGAATTTACCCGCTCAAAAAAACATTAGTCCTCAAGCCGGGTGCATGTGTATTATGCCAGTAATCCTAGTTCTTGAAGAGAGGGGGCTGAGAAAGGGATGCTTACAACTCAAGGTCAGACTAGGAAGAAAAGTGTGCAAGACTACTTCTACTCATCACTGGGAACAAAGTGCATGCCAATCATCCCAAGCTACACAGGTGACAGGTTGAGATTGGAAGAAACACAGTTCCATACCACTCCAGGAAGAAAAGTCTTTGAGAATCCATCTCCATGAAAGAAAGCTAGACACAGTGGCACATGCCTGTCATCCCAGTGAAGATGGAAACATAAAAGTAGGCTTCTCAAGGCTCAGGTACATGGTTTGGTGGAATGTGATACCCTATCCTAAAAGGAACATGTGGAAAACAAAGCTGATTCAGTATATGCCAGCCTAGCAGATTCAGTATATGCCAGCCTAGCAAGCACAAAGCTTGAGTTAAGGACATTAGTAATGCATATAGTAATAATAATAATAATAGTTGTTGTTATTTGAGTTGCCAATGGCAACAAAAATATTTTGGAGCAGGAGTGGCAGCTACTATAAAAGTGTGTCAGAAAGTCTAAATGAGTAATCAATATTTATGCAAAAATGCTGAGTGTTAAAATAATGTAAGTTTTAGGTGTACTGATAATTAGTTCAAATCTGTCATTAATTAAAAATATTTTAAAGACATTTCCTAAGGAACAGAGAACTCTAGAATTTAGAAATGTATTTGCTACCCCAGAGTTTGTTGGCATGAATATTTGGAATGGGGCAAAAAAATAAACCATTTTAATTCACATTGTTTCATATATTGTGTCCAACTTTTGACCTTTCAATAATTTCTCAGAGGATAAAGTGAGATATATAAGCAGTAAAACTATTGATTATCTCATAATATCACAATATACATCTGATAATTACCTTCTGCCAAATTGTAGAGATACATTACTGAAGAAATAGCACACTAACATCTTCCATAGTGATTATTTAACAACTAAGTAATTTGAATAAGTATGAGATATAATGACTTTGCTTTGAAATAAACATTTTTATTAATCAAATTAATACTGGTGTTTCAATGAAGCTAGCCAATGTCAATAATCACTATTGGTTGCATCTATTTTGCTGTGTGAAGTAGGACTTTAAGGTTTCATGTAAATGTAATAAGTTATAGAGATAATTTGATGTGGGTTTTTATTTTGTTTTGTTTTTATATGGTACCAAGGAATCAAACCCAGGACCTCATGCATGCTAAGCAACACTCTACCACTAAGCCACATTCTTAGGCCATTTGATGCAATTTTAAAATCTACACTGTTAGTGGCAGCATGACATCTCTTATGTATTACTCAAAGGCACTATCACTGACCACAGAGAACAACACAGATCTCAACAACCTACCAAGCATGGGATATTGTTCAATGTAAAGGTATTTGTCTAGCACTGGTTTGCTCCTCATACTCTCCTTCCATCACTCTCCAAAAATAAAAATAATAAAACAATGACCTACAAAAGTTTAAATGTTAAGTTTGGTGTCCAACAATTACAAAGCTTTTTGTGTCCAATAATTACAATGCTTAGCGTGATGTAAAGAAAATAAGTCAGTGAAAACATTCATAAAACATAATCCTGATATATAGCTTACTATATACTAAATATAATACATAATTTTTATAAGTAACATAATCTAGGAAAAGAAGAAAAAGAATTAGAAATCATTTCAAAAACTAAGAAACATAGAATAGAATACCACAGTGAACATGTTCTTGATATAGTGATTCACTTGATATAGTGATTCAATCCAATTCATTTTACTAATCTTAATACTTCGAATCATTCTCAGAGCCGGGGGCCGGTGGCTCACACCTGTAATCCTAGGCTGAGATCACAGTTCAAAGCCTGCCCGGGCAAGAAACACCATGAGACTCCTATCTCCAATAAACTACTAGAAAACCGGAAGTGGCGCTGTAGCTCTCGCCTGGAGCTGAAGAGCTGAGGGATAGCGCCCAAGCCCAGAATTCAAGCCCCATGACCGACAAAAAAAAAAAAAAAAAATCATTCTCAGGTACTTGGTCCAACTTTTGCCTAATGAGAGTATTTTACATCTATATCAGTATAGTTTGAGTAATGCAGATAGCCTTTTTCAAGCTTGAATAGAACAAATTATTAACCTCTCAGTAGCAAGAAGAGATTGTCCATCAGGTGGTTTCACACTTGAACCACAATATTTCCCTGTGTCTCTGGCACATGAGACTACTCTGCAGATGTTAGCTTCTCCACTCACCATCATCATATGACCAGATTCCTTACATGATCGCTTTCCATATAAGCATATGCATCCCACACATTATATTTCTCTGGAGAAATACATATGCCATTAAATTTTTTCTTCTCTAGTTGAAATATAGGGTCCAGTTGGACATGATTTGAAAAGTGTTTAAGTGACTTTCTTACACTTACCAGAAAGCAAGAGACAAAAATAAAACTTTCAGGCAGTCGGGAAGCAAGCACTTATCAAACCAAAGAATAAAAAGTTCTTAAGGCTACACAGCAATGTTGGACATTGTCTTGTTTGGGTTGTGTTCTTATTTTCTCAGGAGGTTGATAGGGAGTGGATTTTATTTAAAAACTTATCTAACTAGTGGTGGGTCACAAGACAGAGTCTTGAGTATTTTTTTCTCATACCTTTGGCATCATTGATACTTTTTCTAGACAGTCTGATTTATTGAACACTAGTTCATAATAAAGAATAATAAATACTATCAATTAAAAATCTAAAATTAGAATAGCTGTATTAGGTTACTTGATCAAGTTTTGGAAATTAGAGGCTTGATTTTTCTAGCTGTAGGTGGTCTGATGGTAGGGACTTGAGGTTTTGAAGTTGGTTTAATGGTTACCAGTCGTAAGAGTTCACCTGGTTTTTGAGTCTCATTTTTGATTTGCTTCTATTTGTTCCTGCTTACCAATGTCTACTTACTGGGAAATCTACCACTAAAGTAAAATGTATCTTTCATTCTTTATTGGCCTTGTTTTTATTCTTTGTGGACATAAAATAAACATATTTATTATCTTCAGGTACCTAAATATTGAAAACAGTTTCATAAATATCAGGATACATAGGACATGTTTTTCTTATTTTCATTTCTACAAAACATCTTTTCTTTTTTTAATTAATTAATTTTTTAATTGTGAAAATACTGTACAGAGGGGTTACAATTACATGGGCAAGATAATGAGTACATTTTTATCAAGCATTGTAGCCTCCTCCTTTGTTTCCCCTTCCCATCCCTTCCCATCCTCCCCTCCCCTCCCCCGCCAAAACGTCTTTTCTTAGTGCAATCCTCTGGGTAGAGACTTTCTCACATATATTCATCACAAGAGTATACATAGATCTATGAATTTTTTCTGATAATAAACTTATTTTATCTTTAGTAGTCAGTGGAATAATGTATATAAAACTTTGGAATTAAGAATATTATGTTCTCCTAATGCAGCAGTGAACTCACTAAACACTATGTTGAAAATGAACTATACGACTATAGGGGTGGGGGATTGGGAGGGAAAAAACTGGGAGAAAACAAGGGAAGCAGTGATACTGTTCAAAAAGAAATATACTTATAACCTGACTTAAAAACTGGAAACCCTCTATCATTTTTACAATAAAATTTTTAATTAAAAAATTTAGGGAGCTTGCGACCCAGTGGGAGTGGAGCGGGGCCCCGGCTTGTTGTTGCCAGCTCTTTCCTCCTCCCCACGGTCCAGACAGCCAGGTTGACTTAGGCCGTCGGCCCTCGCGCCGAGACTTGCCTCTTAGTTAGTTCTGAGGAGCGCCTGGCCGACATGAGTGATGTAGAGGGGAACAACTTCGAGGGCAGAGAGTCTCGCTCTCAGTCAAAATCTCCAACCGGTACTCCTGCTCGTGTAAAGTCGGAGAGCAGGTCAGGATCTCGTAGTCCATCAAGGGTTTCCAAACACTCTGAATCCCATTCTCGATCAAGATCAAAATCCAGGTCAAGGTCAAGGAGGCATTCTCATAGACGATACACTCGATCCCGGTCTCACTCTCACAGGAGAAGATCTCGAAGTAGATCCTATACACCAGAATACCGGCGACGAAGGAGCCGAAGTCACTCTCCAATGTCTAATCGGAGAAGACATACAGGCAGCAGGGCGAATCCAGATCCCAACACTTGTCTGGGAGTGTTTGGCCTCAGTTTGTACACAACAGAGAGAGATCTTCGTGAAGTATTTTCTCGATATGGACCATTGAGTGGTGTCAACGTGGTTTATGATCAGCGTACTGGGAGATCACGTGGATTTGCTTTTGTGTATTTTGAGAGAATAGATGACTCCAAGGAGGCCATGGAAAGAGCAAATGGAATGGAGCTGGATGGAAGAAGAATTCGTGTGGATTATTCTATCACCAAGAGAGCACATACACCTACACCAGGCATCTACATGGGCAGACCAACTCATAGTGGTGGTGGAGGTGGTGGTGGAGGTGGTGGTGGAGGCGGCGGTGGTGGCAGACGTCGAGATTCTTACTACGATAGAGGATATGATCGAGGGTATGACAGATATGAAGATTATGATTATCGGTACAGAAGAAGATCACCTTCTCCTTATTATAGTCGATACAGATCCCGATCAAGATCTCGTTCTTACAGCCCAAGACGCTATTGATCATGGAACGATTGCAATTAAGGATGTTATTCTCTTTTCTTTTTCTCTGTTTTTTGTTATTTGTTTTGCTTTTCTTTTTAATCCTGGGTTTCCTCTAGCTTCTAATCTTTCCTAATCCTTAAAAAAAATTTCTTGGTTTACTGGCATCTACATACACTTTGTCAGTTGTGTTGTCCACCACTTCTGTTATACTCTTAAAAATGTAATTGTCATTTTGAATAGTTCAAACATCTTGAGTAAAAAAGGAACCCAGTAAAAAAAAAAAAAAAAAAAAAAATTTATGTCCTAGTCAATTTTACCTGGCAGGTAAAAGTGCCAAGTATAGGATATAATACAAGAGAAAAGCAGACCCTAATACAAGGTATTTCAGTTGAGTCCCAAAGATATCTTTCATTTTGTTAGAGTAAATTTTGTTTTTGTTCTGGGATAAATATCAGAGAAATAGCATATGTATATTTTGCTTAAAATATAATTCAATTAGTATTTAATGTTAAATAAATTTTCCAAATATTCTATAGATGAACTTAGACTATAGCCATGCCTTCCCTGAATGACAAACTTACCTATCTAAAATAGATTAAGACGGTCTGGTAAACTGTCTTTCTAACCGATTTCAGCTCACAATTTAAAATTAACTCTACAAGATAACAATAGTATACTGAGAAATTTAATTATACTACACCTTATATTCCTTAACTTGATCAACACAGAGACTTTTTATCCCCTCCCTTATTCCCTTTGTAACAATGTTTCAAGTGTGTTCCCAGTTGATGACACTAATAAAACCAGACAAGTAACAACTCTAGCAGTCAAAACACTGAAGGAGTATAAAAAACTGTGATTGAGTTATTTGTATATTAACAAAAAAAGAGGAGATAAGTAACCAGATTACAGGCTATGGAATTGTACTGACATCCTGGAAAGCCCCTGGGAACACCTGAACATGCAGTAGAATGTCTTTACTCCTGTCACTGCAGCCAGCCTCTCAAATCAGTGCACACACTCATGCAAAATTTATGAAGCAGATTGTCACCCAATGCAAATGATCCAAACAACATAAAATATGATTCTGAAAAAGTTAGTGAGTTAAAAAATAAGAGACTCTTGTTTTCTTTCTACAGCTAATCTCTCTTTTTGTAACTAATGCTTTAACACATACATTATAGAAATCTCATGATAAACTAATAGCTCATTATAGTTATTAAAAAAAAGAAAATGTCAATCCTAGCTACTCAAGAGGCTGAGATCTGAGAATTATGGTTCATAGCCAGCATGGCAGGTAAGTTCATGACTCTCTTAGCTCCAATTAAACATTAAAAAGCTGGGAGTGGAGCTGTGGCTTTCATGGAAGAATATTAGCCTTGAGCACAAAAGCTCAAGGACAGCACCCAAGCTCTGAGTTCAAGCCCCAGGATGGGCACAGAAAAAGGGGATTAGGGGCATTGACCATGATCATTTTAAGTGTTAACATGACAACATTTCAAGGTCATAACTGTAAGGGGAAAACAAAGGAGGAGGTAACAATGTTTGATAGGAAATGTACTCATGACCTTGCTGATGTAACTGTAACCTCTCTGTACAGTATTTTTACAATTAAAAAAACGTATTTAAAAAAGGAGATGTAGCTGGGCGCCAGTGGCTCCTGCCTACTCAGGAGGCTGAGATTTGAGGACCGCGATTCAAAGCCAGCCCGGGCAGGAAAGTCCGTTGAGACTCTTATCTCCAATAAACCACTCGAAAACCGGAAGTGGCGCTGTGGTTCAAGCGGTAGAGCGCTCGCCTTGAGCTGCAGAGCACAGGAACAGCGCCCAGGCCCAGAGTTCAAGTCCCACGACTGACAGAGAGAGAGAGAGATGTAAAGAAAATCAATAAATGAATATTTCTACTTTTATCCATAGGATATTTTGACACTAGAAATGACACTTTGCTTCCTTTTTCTTTCATATAGAAGATAGATTAAATAAGCTTCACTTTACCTATATTATAGAGGAAATACTGTAAATAAATCATAGGAATGAAATCAACATCTACAGAGCATAGTGTAAACAGAGCATTATAAACTCTATGAATATGGGGCTGGAGGTGTCTCAGTGGTAGAGTGCTTGCCTTGCATGCATGAGGCCCTGGGTTCGATTCCTCAGCACCACATAAGCAGAAAAAGCCGGAAGTGATGCTGTGGCTCAAGTGGCAGAGCACTAAGCTTCAGCTGAAGAGCTGAGGGACAGCGCCCAGGCCCAGAGTTCAGACCCCATGATCGACAAAAAGCAAAAACAAAAACTCTATAAATGTGTGTAGTAAGGATTTGGTGGTTGGATAACAATAACAATACTCTCATAATTTACCAGTGAAAAACTAGGTTATTGCCTGCCTATATTATTCTTAAAAATTCAGTAACTAGCTTAGACCACATCATCAGTCCCTCTTCAATATAACTAGTGAGAAAAAATAGACCGAGAAAATATGGTTGAACACTGGAGGCTGTACATCTGAGATATGAAGGGAGCATGTGACCAGTCTCACATCTTCAGAACTGGTGCTCAGCATTTCACCTGAATTGATACCAATGACAGGAGATAAGTGAGGAAAATTATGTTTCACAGACCTGGTATTGATAGAATTTTTTTAATTTAAATTTTATTGTGAAGGTGATGTACAAAGGGGTTACAGTTACATAAGTCAGGTAATGAGTACATTTCTTTTTGAACAGTGTTACTCCCTCCCTCATTTTCTCCCATTTGTTTCCCACCCCGCCCCACAAGTTGAAAAGTTCATTTCCAACATAGTGTCTAGTGAGTATCACTGTTGCATTGGACCATCCTTTGTCCCAACATTTCTGTGATTCCTCTTCTCTTCCCCAAATCAGATAAACTTATATACACACAAAGGGCACAGAAATCCAAAACAGTGACATCAGGGAATAGACCAAAGTAGAAAAGAAAGAAAGAACTACAAACAGTACACTAAGAAAGAATCTCTTGTTTCCATTTCTTGAATGACGTTCATTTCAATAAGCATCATTTTATATGGTCATACACACATAGCTATTGAGCTATTGTGGTCCTCCCCTAAGAAGATCCTAGACATAGTTAGTTATTACAAATGGTGAAAACTATGCTGTCTGTGTTTTTTTTTGGAGGGGGGGTCTGGCTTATTTCACTTAATATAATTTTTTTCCAGGTCTTCCCATTTCCTTATGAATGGGGCAATGCCATTCTTTCTGATGGAAGCATAGAATTCCCTTATGTATACACCCCATTTTCCTGATCCATTCATCTACTGAGGGGCATCTGGATTACATAGATACTCAATTGTTCCCATAAACACCTCTTCTCTCCTTTAGAAGCATAACTGTAGTATTTTGTACTTCAGCTGCAGGTTTTATTGTATCTTAACTTTTAAATGGGGAAGACAGAGTGAAGTTATGATTGACCTGGAGAAGTGTTTTATAGAGAACTGAATCCTGAGCTGGACTTAAAACAAGGGGAAGGAAGAGTATGAAGAACATCCTAGAAGAAAAGAAAAACAGCATGATCAGAGATTGGGTTAAAATGACTATTGGAATAAAGACAAAATATGTAAAGAAAGTGAAATTAATGTTTACAGTACTGCCTGAAGTGTTATAAAAGTGATAATATGTGCTCCCCTGTGTTATATAATTTAATAGTCACAAAACTTTTCAAGGTATTATATTACCCATTACAGTGAAGATAATAGTACAATAGCTATTTAGTATCCACATTTTTCAAATAGAAATTTTAGAGAACAGTTTTCTGCGATAAAAATGTACAATGTATATATGACTTTAGCCAGAAGCTAAAAAGTAACTAAATAATTGCAACATTTGATTGATATAATCACTTTTTGAAAAGTGTATAATATAATGCCACAGAAGTTGTGATTCAGGCAAAACAGTAGATGATCTTATCATTTCTGTGGGTCAGAAGTCTCAACATAGATTAACTGAAAATGTGTACTTAAAGTATAACCAGCTGCAATGAAGAAGTCAGCAAGCTATATTCTTAGCCATAGGCTCATCTGGGGAGGTATGTCTAGGGTGCTGACAGCATTCAGTTTTGCTGCAATGGTAGAACTACAAATAATTTGCTTATGCTAAGTACCATGTGGAAAATACCCTCAGCTCACAGAAGCAAACATCACAATGACTTTCCTTGTTATGGTCACCTTATCAAGGAACCAAAAAGTGTTTCTACAGTGATTATACTAATAGAATACAGCAGTCAGAACAATGTCATGCCAACAGATCTACCAGAGTCTGCTAATTAGGAGGAAAGCACAAATTCTACCTCCACCTAAGAGAAGGGAGATGTATAAGACAGGAACAGCCATAGGCGGGGATGAAGTAAGGTATCCCTACAGTCTGTCTACTATGATATGTTTAGGAAACTACGATTCTATCTGAAACAACAGTGATCTATTTTAAAAAATTAATGTGGGGTTGAAATGTTCAGAATTGTGTGGCAATGAGGAAAAATAGTAAGTTTGATTTCATACAGAAATAAGAAATTTAAATGGATTTTGAACATTCTCTCTAATGTAATGTGCCCCCAAAACAACTGTACTATAGTCATTTACAAATGGACAGGTACCAGAAGTTGTCTATTTGATGCCTTTTCTGATGTGAAGAATAAACCCCATCGACCCCCAGAGTGTTCTAATGCCAAAAAATAATCAGGGTAAAGAAGAAAAGCAATAAAGAAAAATAATGTGCTTCCTGAGAGACTCTCAGTTACTAAGATGAAGGATACTTTGAAAATTCTGCATTTTTTTTGACTTATACACAGTGTTTCAATTGGCAAATACAAAGAAAATGGTAACTTGCAGAAAGAAAAAGTGATATAAAATTTAGCTAAGAAACAACTGGAAATAAAACTATGACTAGAGTCCCCAGGCAAGAGGATAAAATGTTGGAGTTTATCAGAGGAAGACACAGAGTGAAATCAGCTAAGGAACTGATTAACCTAATCATAAACCAAGCATGCGGCAATTCTACTGATAATTGCTCTCCAGTGAGTCACTTATAATGTCATTACAGCACACATTAGTCACCCTTCTGCCCTACTTGCCCAAAATATACTGCAGACTGCCAGTAGAACATCTGTTCTCTGCATTGTAGTCATTACAAATGTTGTAGAAATCCCCCCCAAAAAAGGATTAATGCTATACCTTTTTGCATTCTACTAGCCTGACTGTTGATAGCAGTGCAGTACTTTAGG